TTTCTAGGACTATAAGATCTTCTATAGTTGTAATCAAAGGACCGGCTTCTTGATCTTCTTCTTTCATAACTCCGGCTTCTAGAACGTCTGTATCTGTCATAATCATCATAGCGTGAAGAGCTGTATACATTCCTCCCCTCCTTGGCTTTCATTTGATTTGGAGCTAATGAAATACATAGAACAGAAATATTTAGAAACATTAAAACCTATGATTTTAAGTCTTCAAATTATAGGAAAAATTTCTGTATTCTCTTCCCTTATACCCCCAAATTGTGTCAAGGTGACTAAATCTTGGAAAAGGTATTTGTTTTTGAGGATGTCTATGAGAATACCGTTTTATGTTAAAAATGATACTCTCAATTATCTTCCCAAATATTTTTTTCAGAGACCTTTTCACCGTCTAGCTTGTTGTCCAAAAATAAGCCAACTACTTCAACATTAAGAAAATTTACCACATTAAAATTTCCAAATTAAAATATGAATGAACCATATGCTAACTTGGAATTATTCTGCTTGGTTTTCATTTTTTAGGAACACAATTAACAATGACAAAACACTTACTGGTAGCCTACGAACAATGTTTCAGTATCAAAATGCAGTGATATATGGTTATACAGCTCTGAGAGATCACAACAAAAGTAGAAAAGAGCACTTATTGGATGCCTTAGACATACCAGCATCCCTGGACAGTCCTCAATTCCTGTTATCTCATTCGATTCTATGAAGCAGATACTGGAAGTGTGTGTGTTTATATAAATACCACAGCAAATATCCAAGAACCCATCACCCAACCCAAGAACCAGAGAATTACTGGTAGCTAGTGTCTACCTCTATGCTCCTCTCTTCAGCAGCTATTTTCACCTCTATCTTTTAGTATCTTGCCCAAGGTAACAAAATGGTTGAGCCCAAATTCAAACCCAGGTCTACCTGACTCCAAAGCTTGTACTCCTGCCTCATTAGTGGCTAACACCTGGTGCTTGCCTGCATAATAAAAACCACAGACTAATATAAAACCGATTCTAGGTTTCACCCATAATCCTTCTCAGTTTAATTCTATCTGTTCATTTCCACAGCCAAGCATCCAAATACCCAATTATACCTTGAAGATCTCTGTATGAAAAGAAATGGCTGAAAAGACCCAATACTTTCCAAATTATTTCCCTTTTCATTTCACCCCCAGTATATTAAACATGTCACAGCAGATAGTATCGAACCACTTTCTTAAAAAGTCCAACACATTTCAGGCATTCTAATCTTCACGTTCTACGTTTTTGCAAAGCATGTTAGATACTCTATCTTTTCAAAAACTCTTTTTAGATTTTGGACAAACAAATTGCAAATACTTCCAAAAAGAGGTATCAAAGCACTGTTTAAAAATGACATATTATACATATACATATATTAAGCATAAGGGTACTTACTCTTCCGATCCCCCTGTGCAAACTGTATTTCAATTTGGCGTCCACAAATCCATTTTCTGTCCAAATTATGTAAAGCGTCTTCGGCATCACGGACATCCTCAAATGTGCTAAATGTTAAGGGGCTTGGGAAGTTTTGCATACTTTGATAATGAATGAACATTCAGTTGGTAAGTCTGGAACAATTCACAGTCTCTCAGTATTATTCTAGAAAATCATCCAGACCTCACTTACTTAGGTTGGTTGATTCAGCTATAGACACTTCACGGCATTAAATCACTTGTGATTTCCTCAGCATACATTTGAAAACACATGTGATTACATATTATAAAATTATTAAAATAAGATCTGTTATAGCTGAACTACCAAGTAATCCTATCAAAAAATTTTCCTGAGTTTTAAGTTTTACAAAACAAAAAAGAAAAACATGTCAGTTCTATGTTGTATACTAAAACAAAAATTTCTTAAAATAAAACCAAAACTGTTTCTCATATTTTTGTTTCAAAGGAAAAAAAGAAAATGCCAATAGTTCTTGTGTAAGCAAGCAGAATATACCTTACCTTACAAGAGATAAAGCATTAACTTCAAATTTATTTTGCTGTTTTTCTCCGATATATCTAACACTTTTATTTTATGTACTTGTCTTCCTTTTACCATACGGGGAAGACTGGTATGCTATCCACTTGAGGATATCAAGATAGAATCAAGCAATAAATACTGAAGATATCACTATACCAAAAGCGTATTACACCCATGCACAGACTATAAAAGCATGCGGTCAAGAAATAACAGACCATTTCTAAATATTCCTGGACTGGAAAGCCCTATCCTAATACTAAACATTCAGCTCCCTGCAAAGAAGTGGGTCTGGGACTCGTTTTCAACTTGAGAATTTCAAGATAACATTTATAAACCTGACAAAGGAACTGCTGGTACTGGTTTTTGATTGGAGAGGCTGTTGCCTTGCCTGCCCTCTTCCTTCATGGTCAGCGTAATACTATGAGAACTCTTGGCTTTACAAAGTTACTCTGCCCAAATTTAGCTCCTTTCCTAAATCCACCATTCTGATGGAAGCCAAGCAAATATTCAGAGCAGTGTTTGATATAAAAGCTTTGGAAAGGGGACTGGGTTAAGTCTGGGTGTAGATTTTCATTCTATCCTAAAAATCACTCTTCTAACTTGTCCATTTATATTTCTCAAATTTTAGAGACAAGAGTGCCGATCTTGAGCTGATTAAACAACACCCCTGAAGAGACACACTCCATTTAAGACTGATACTACTGTTTATTCCAGATATTAAAAGGTCTGCCTCACCAGATTTCCTACTTTTGTTTTGAAAGGAATTAGGGACCACAGCAAGCTCCTAGCTCTCTCTTCCTGAAGCTATTATGTGTATGTTAATGAAAGACAGGTTTCCCCAAGTCCTAAATCATGGGGCTTTCAACATGAAAAGGCCAAGGCTGATAGGGAGTTTAGAACCTTGAGTGCTATAAACTGAACACCCCTCAAGGTTAATGTAGTTGGGCTCTAAAATATTAAAGAAAAAGTTCACTTAATGGGTATACTACTTACTATGCCAAGAGGCAAAATATAATTTACTTTTTAGAGGATTAAAACTAAAAGGTATAAAAACTATTGAGATTAACTCATTCTCTGGATCTACCCTCAAAAACAGAATCCTGGGCTGGATGAACCATGGCAAAGTTCTATACATGTCAAGAGAAGGCTAATTGGGAACAGGGTCAAATATCACTCAGATGCTAGTTATGGAGAAGTTTGTACTCGGGATCTTTGCAAAATCCTGAGACCTACTTCTTTTTAACTATTTTAAGACCATAGAAAGACTATATATATGTAAGAAGTATAGATCGCCTTTAGATGACGACTCTCTTCTGGCCCAACTATCACATACTCTTGAGTCAAACTACTGTTGATCTTGATTCCCAGGCCACCCCAAACCAGTAAAATCAGGTCAACATTGTAAGCCAGAAAGCATCGCTTTTTTTTTTTTTTTAAACCAAGCCATCTATTGCTCTTATCCTCTCTGAAACAGCTTTGCAACCAATTCCCCCAACTGTCCTTGATAACTAGCTTTGCTGAAGTAGCAGCTTTCAACATTCTCCCTAAGTCTCACTAGGACCCCTGCTAAGTTTCAAGAGACCCACTAAATTTAAGCAGTAACAATTTTTCCTAGGCCGACGCCAACAGCCCAAACCTTTGCTGTCTCACTGAAGATGTCACCTCAAACTCTGGGTCAGGAAATGACTTCCCGTAGATCCTGATTAGGTACCCATACAAGGGATAAGGCCTTCTGCAATCCACTCAGGGCAAACTAATGGTATGTGCTAAAGCAGTGCAGGACCAGCAGGCTTCACAGAGCTAAGTTTAGAAGTCTGGAGTATGTGTGTGGCCACCCCCCCAACAGCCACTTTAAAATCTATAAACAGGTAGTATCTCCAGTGGATTTGACCTTACAAGACCACCAGAGTTGTTCCTAAGTAGTTCCCAGTGCTAGCACCTGTCCCCACTTTAAGCAAGGCTCTGTGGAGTCAGCTTGACCCCAGAACCTCATGCTACTCCAAAGAGCACTGCCTACTATCTATGGGATCTGACCATCTGGTCCAAAACAGAAATATGCTGAGTTTAAGCTTAACAACATTATATCCTGGTACACTTTAACTTGACAAGCTAAGAGAGAGTGCATTTATACAAGACCACAATCACAACATCAAAGGCCCACATAAATTAAGTTACAGGTTTTGTCACTAGACCAAACCAGAATAGTTTTGAAAATTAACTGCTTACAAAACATTAAAAAAAACAAAAAGGAAAATAGTTATTCTGTAGGATACATCAGGTATGACTCCTTTAATCTTGGCCATCATTCAACTTCATCTTGACCTTTAACTCTTTAAGTGCTTGTCAGAAGGACTTGTCATGAGATGCTTGGCCAAATATGACAGATGGCTTTATCTTTAACTTTGAAAAACAACCTTTTCCCCCTTTTGTAGATAAAGCGAGGCTTTGTCTCCCATTAGGCTTGTCCTTCTTCCAGCTTTTCTTTATTTTTTCTTTTCCCAAACTCTCCCTTCTCTTCAAGCCTGATCCTTAAGAGGTCTTTGGCTTGTCTACTTGCCTTAAGTGTTGAACTCTACTCTAAAGGTTCTTTCATGCTTTCTCTTTGGGGTCGCCATAACTGTACAGCTTTACATTCTCTGAGGTAACAACAGAGGACAGCAAATTAGGGGACAATATTAAAGAAGTTTACCTCATTGTTATACAATTTGTTTTTGATCAAGTGATTCAAATTAACAGACAATACCAAACTTTAATTGCTAAGCACAAGAACATATTAACTTTTAATTTGACTTACATTAAAAGTGGTAGCAACCAGAGTGTATTCAAATTTAAATCACATTTTATAATCAATTGATTTGAGTTTCAGCAGCATGAATGGGAATTTAAATATTTTACTATTTTTGGATTAACTTTAAGAAATAGTTAAGAGCAATGTGTGAGTCAGAATTAATTTTCAAAAATTTGAAGACATTAAACATTTATTAGAGGACAAAAGTAAACTACTTTTTAGATGTTACCTCTTACATAAACTTGAATTTCAAACTTCAACACCCCTCACTAATCAGCCATCTGAAGAAAGGATATTGAACATAAGCAAATCCTCTTGGACGGCGCGTGTAGAAATCAAGTGGAACATACACATCAACTATAGGACCATAACGACCAAATTCTCTTCGTAAATCTTCGGACCTAAAACATCATAAAAAGACCCCCAATTTTTATGTTCACTTCTTTTAAAATAATTTCTTTGTAAGAAATAGGTATCTTTCTGTAATCTATCAATTAATGAAAGGGACTGTGTATCCCCGGGGTGACCTGAAACAGACAAGCTTTCTAAATCTCAACATCAAGAGCCAACTGTAAGAACATACGAAAAATATGCCGGCAATCTATCTTTTTGAAAAAGGAATGCTAAGATCCAAGATTTCTGGGAGATAATGCAGTTTGTAATAAAAATCTATTACTATTTTACATTAACAACAGGAAAAGACATCTAAGGAAACTTGGTCATAAATTTATCTATTGTTTCTAACCACACCTTTAATTTTTCATAAAAGGCATGGTATCATTAGGTTCCATATAATAAGTATTACTAATGTTTTGCTTTTATAGTATCAAACCAAGATTAGTACTCTGAAAAATACCTAGCACTTTCATCCTAAAATTTTAGCGACAGGGTTAGACACTTAGTAGGAGGTAAAGGTTTGAAAAATAGAAGTCACAAATATATGTAACTCCTTAAATAATAAAAAGTCAAAATGACAAGGGAAAAATTTTCTAGATGTTTACTTTCCTACTTATAGTTAGGACGGAAAAATGTAAATAACACAAGGCTACAAAAATACAATTTGACTTTTGGGGGGTCAGAGTGATTGTGAAACGTAACGTCTCTCCTAGTGATACGATCTCTTCCAAAAAATTCTGACGGCAACTACAAGCAATTAAGGCAATTGGTGAGAACAAAGGCAGGTCTGGATTAATCAATTTAGCTTATCAACATCCAAATGGTAGAGAATTCCTAAACCTCACTTCTGAAAGGGTTACCAGTTATTTCCGGGAAATGGGAAGAACTAGTTCGCACCGTCTAACTGGAATAATTTTATTTTTCAATTTTCGACATTCCCTCTCTCCAAACATCTCCAACATTTTATTTTTATTATTATTTGACAGAGACACAGCGAGAGAGGGAACACAAACAGGGGGAATGGGAGAGGGAGAAGCAGGCTTCCCGCGGAGCAGGGAGCCCGATGCGATGCGGGGCTCGATCCCAGGATCCTGGGATCATGACCTGAGCAGAAGGCAGACGCTTAACGACTGAGCCACCCAGGCGCCCCAAACATCTCCCAACATTTTAAAAATCAGAACTATAACACGACAAAAAAAGGGTTGCGAATGTTTTGCCATACATGCCCCTCCCCCGATCCCGTTATTTCCCAATTTTTTAACTACCAAAACCAAAAAAAATCTCGGGGCCGAGGGGGCGTGTACCCCAAAGAACGTGAACTTCAAATCAATGGGGAGCGGATGTTCGGCCGCGGCGGGGGCTGGACTTGCCGAGAGGAAGGGGGGAGGAAGGGGCTCCGAAGTGCGGAGGGGGAGGGGGGCCGAAACCCCGCCACGCGGCCCGCGTTCCCCCGCGGTAGGACCAGGGGAGCCGCCCTCGCTCCCACGCGGCGGTTGAGCCGGCGGCGCGGCCTAGCTGGGGCCCGAAAGCCCGCGCGGGACCCGCCATCTTCGCCTTCCCCTCCCCCGGCCCAGCGCGCCGCCGCCGCCGCCGCACGGGTCCTCCCCAAGCGCTTGCGGCCTCCCCGGGTAGGCCTGGAGTCCCTCCTCTGTACACACCTGGTATCGTCGGCCACGTTCCTTACGAACAGAGATGTGTTGGGGGGGCGCAGGTAGCGGGACATGACGGCGACGTGAGTCTCGGCAGGGGTACTAACGGCCTCAGTAAACCGTCCGCGGATCCGGCGGCGGATCCTCAGACACTCAGCCAGAGGGCTCCGCTACGAAACCACCTCTTCTCGCGAGACTTCACTCCCGCCTCCACCTCCCCCCCCCCACCTGGGCTCAACGCCGGGACCGGCAACGGTTATTTCCCGCGAGATTACAGGGCGTGCGCCTGCGCAGGCGGGCTGCTGGGCTACGTGCCGCAGCCTCGGTCTCATTCATTGGCTTCTTGCGCGGCCTCTCCCCCCTCCCCCAAGCCCGCTCTTTCTTTCTTTAGTGCTTTATTTTCCCGCCCTTTTCTGCCTTGCACCGGTTTTCCCCTACCTCCCCCTCCAAGACAGGAAGCAGACGTTTTAACCCCTACGCTAAAATTTACAGTTATTGCTAACCAGAGTTTTAAACATTAGAAATCTGAGAGACCGCCGTATGATTTCCTGTCTCGTCCAACTTATGCCCTGGCTTTTATTAGATCGCTGACTAGGAAGGGAAGAATTTACATCCTCTCGTATTGGGTGTGAAAGGGAAGGAGGCATGAGTCCTTGCGGAGGGGGTGGGCCTGCCTCCCCAGGGCTTTCTGCACGTCGTGGAAGCACTCCCGGAGGACCCGTGCCGGGGCTGCCCGTGCTCACACCCTTCTCGGTCATTTTCTCCACCAGTCCATCCTATTCCTCCTGATTAAAGGCCGCTCTCAACCTTTTGATTGGAACCCAGACCTCACATCTTAGTCTCCATAGTCATCCACGGGTATTCTTTGTTGCTAACGGTCCTTCCAACTTTTGGGTCTCAGAACCTCTTAACTCTCTTACAAATTACGGAAGACGCCAAAGAGTTCTGCTTATGTGGGTTATAGCTGTTAATATTTGGTGAACTAGAATTTAAAATGAAGAAAGTTTTAGGTCGTAATAACACACAAGCACACATTCCACTATCCTTAATCACACATCATGTAGCCTCTGGGAAGCTCCACTCTGTATTTGTGAGAGACTGCTCATGAAAAAGGCAAATCATGTTTACTGTAATTTTGACCCCTTGAAAGGGTCCTAGGGACCCTTACCAGACCACAGATTAAGAATCGTTCCGTGCTCTATCAGATTCAACTTTTGGGAGATGAGGGATCACCTATTAAAATGTCTCTGGCATGTAGCACAATGCCAAGCAGATAGCAGGGACTCAAGTACTGTTTAATTAAATGAGCTTTTATTTTACAAAAGTCCATAAAAGCAGTATTTTTGCATCAGTCAGCATCCAAAGCAATTACATGACTTGACATGGGTGGTGATGGCAGAGCTATTGTTTTTCTATATTTATGTTTTCCAAGAAGCTTTGGACACTATTTATTAAAACATTTATTCATTACCCATTATGTGTCAGACATTGTGCTAGATGCTGGAAATTCAGTGATGAAAAACATGGAACTTAGGTTTTCATAGAAAATAAGCAAATAACTGAAGTAATTGCAGATTTGTGATATAAGACAGTAGTGTAAAAGTTAAAAAAAATTTTTTTCTTTTAAACAGAAGGTTGTGTAGGAAGGTCTTGCTGAGCACTCCCCCCCTCTTGAGTTAGACATTTTTTAGTACCTGGAAAACAGCCTTCTGTAGATTACCCTAAGAGATGAGGGAAATTTACACAGGTGGTACTCCAACCATTCAGTTTAGTATGTGTAAAGGTTTATAAACAGAGTCTGCCCTCAATGTTAACAGGATTGGCTACATAATCTCTGGGGCCCAGTGCAAAATGAAAAATTTCAAAAATTATGAAGATGGCAGTAGCAGAGCACTAAGCCAAATGCAGGGTTGTTTGGAGTGTGGTGCCCCGTGTAACCCGCAAAGGTGGCATGCCCATGAAGTCTGTTCTAGATGTTAGCAATTACTGTTATTACTCATAATGATTGAGAAATAATAGGAACAAGGGACACACAAATATTTACTAACTGGAATTGCTTTCTGCTTCACATACCAAATGCCCCTTTGATCTTTTGTGCTTGAGGATCCCAGAGCCTTGAAAAAGATGATATTGGGAAAAATAGAAACAGCAAGCATCTTTTGGCCAGCTGGAGCTTGAGTTGGGCAGTTGACCAAACTATAGATGTGCTGCAGGTGGGGGAGAAGAAAGCTACACCGAGGAACTGTGGAAGTACAACACTCCCTCATCAAAGTGCTGCCCGGTGTGGTTAAGAGTGCCACATTTCACTCTGAGCACAATACCAGGGCTGGTAATTTTTCCCAAGGCCAAATGTTAATCTCTGAAAACGGTCTGTTGGTACTGCACCTCTTCTTGGAGAAATTATGTTTCATTAGCATTTATGTCAGAAAACGACTTGCCTTGGATAGTATTCTCAGAAACACGCAAATAAGACCAAAATGTAAAATATACAACTATGAATTTCCTTGATCCTGAAACAGCTTTTTTTAAAAATGTATGCGCCGTAGCACAGACATCATGCCTGAGTGAGTTGTGCTACTTGCTAGAGGGAGACTCACTGGTGCAAATTCTGTGTGTTAAAACCTTGGAATTCTGAGCCTGTCTCCCTAAGCAGAACCAAAACCTTGAGCCATATATCAAGATTAATTTTACTGGTACAACCGTTCAATTCAGGCAATTGTCACCGACAGTACTCAGCACTGGGTCTCTGTCTCCATGGGCAAACAATTAGGAGCATGCTTTTTAAATTTATTTAATAAGACATTCCTGATGTTTCCTATAAGGCTTTTCACTAATGAGTAGGCAACAGGCCAAGTTCCCTGGACTGAGGAGGACATAGCTTAGACATTTCCTTACTTGTGTGTTGGAAACTTTGCAGCACAAACATAATACACTATCAATTTACTTGAGTTGAGGTTCTTTTAACCTCTGGCTTTCACTAGTTCTTCTCTGTGGGTGAATTCACTGTGAATACACACATTTGTTCATTATATTCCTTAGATGATCTATTAGCATGTAGATTGCTACCTTGAATTTGCTTAAGGTAAAATCACTTGTTCTATCTTGGCCTCATTTTAATGTCTTAAAATAACATTTTCCTTACTTATCAATGTCCAGTGTTTATTTTTTTAAAATTTCAGAAATAAAACTGTAAAGGAAACAAATATCACCTGCGATCCTACCACTCAGGACTAATTACTATTTTTTTTTAAGATTTTATTTATTTATTTGACAGAGAGAAACAGTGAGAGAGGGAACACAAGCAGGGGGAGTGGGAGAGGGAAAAGCAGGCTCCCCACTGAGCAGGGAGCCAGATGCGGGGCTCGATCCTAGGACCCTGAGATCATGACCTGAGCCAAAGACAGATGCTTAACGACTGAGCCACGCAGGCACCCCAGGACTAATTACTATTAAACCTTTATGCATTTCTATGCATTTATGTAGTTGTTAAAATTGGAGTCATACCGTATATACAGTTTTATAATGTGTTTTTTTCCCCACCAAATATTTTATAAAGAATATCTTCCGGGGCGCCTGGGTGGCTCAGCGGTTAAGCGTCTGCCTTCGGCTCAAGTCATGATCCCAGGGTCCTGGGATTGAGCCCCGCATCAGGCTCCCTGCTCAGTGGGAAGCCTCTTTCTCCCTCTCCCACTTCCCCTGCTTGTGTTCCCTCTCTCGCTGTGTCTCTCTCTGTCAAATAAATAAAATCTTAAAAAAAAAAAAAAGAATATCTTCCCTGGCCATTAGTTTTAGTAAATACAGTTGTTTTTTTTTTTAAGATTTATTTGTCAGAGAAAGAGAGCTTGCAAGCAAGCAGGGGGAGGGGCAGAGGGGGAGGGAGAGGGAGAGAATCTCAAGGAGACTCCGCACTGAGTATCACTGAGTATCACTGAGCTGTAGTCAGGCACTGTTTGAAACACACGAAGTAAGCAAACACGGTCAACTTGCCTGGGCCATGGGATGCCAGACGTTTGGTCAAACATTACTCTGGTTGTGTCTGTGAAAGTATTTTTGGACGATTTCATCCAACATTTGAATTGGTAGACTGAGTAAAACAGATTATCCTCCCTAATGTGGGTGGGCTTTCATCCACTCAATGGAAGACTGAAATAGAACAAAAAGTTGGATAAGAGGGAATTTTGCCTGCCTGTCTGATTGAGCTAGGACATTGGTCTTCTCCTGCTCTGAGACTGGAACTTACACCATTGGCTCTCATAGGTCTCCAGTTTACTAACTGCAGATTTTGAAACTTCTCAGCCTCCACATTCAGGTGAGTCAATTTGTTATAACAAATCTCTTTATATGAATGAATACATGAATGAATGGATAAATACACATGCACACGTTCTATTGGTTCTATTTCTCTGGAGTACCCTAACACATATGGCTGTACTATAATTTGTTTATCCATTCACCTGTTGCTGGACATTTGGGTTGTTTCCGGTTTGGGGCCATTATGAGTGAAACTTCCATGAACATTTGTGCACAAGTCTTTTTTTGGATATATGTTTTCAGTTCTCGTGAGTAAATATCTAGAAAGGCAATTGCTGGGTTATACGTTATGTCCTCCAGGAAGCAGTTACCAAGATGGGGTGAGAAATGCAAGAGATTTCTTGGGGCTAATGCCTGTGAAATAAAAAGGGGAAAGGGAGCCGGAGAGGGCAGGGAAGGTCTTCAGACCAGATCTGACCCTGTGAAAAGAAAGGGGGAAGGAAGAGAAGGACTAGGAAGCACCTCATACTGAAGTACAGCAAGAGAAAGTTTTATCAACTCATCGCCCATGGAGGAGTCCTTTGTTGGAGAGAAATGGCCTGGCCCTAGAATCCCCACTGTGCTCAGTCTTTGGTTGGGTTTGCCTGGGAAGAGCACGGCCTCGGATCAAACGTTGCAGTGGATCTCAGCCACAGTGCCTGAGACTGCCCGCTAACTATACCCTTTGGGGTAGGGTCACCCCTGATGGGAGATCTGAGTGGCAGACTTCCGTGGTGGCCAAAGTTCAAGCCTTATGCAGATCCCCTTCTCTGTACATTATTGCATAGCAGCTCCTTCATAAGTCCCAGGGGTGTCTCTTACTAAGGGGAAAACTTAGAAGAGGGAGGCTATTGGGATGAACCAGGGCCCCTGTAGCCACAGCTGGTACTCATCCTCTCCCTCCTCCTCTATCCTCATCCTC